TCTTTGATTTCATAAAACGATCTGAAATGAACCTGTTACATTCATTATGAATTCAACTAAGTTATATAGTCTAAATAGAACTCGTATTAAGACCAGGCCTTACAACATGACTACAATTTAAGGCAGAACTAACGTTTAAATCCTTTATACACGCTTCATCCTAGTTAAGTGAATAACATGTTGAACATTTGAAATCATCGTGAAACTATCAATACTATGTTACAGGTACATTCAGTTAATAAGTCCCAAATAAGACTAAACGCATGCTTCTCTAAACCACCATTCAACTTTGTTTTAAATGTTTATGGCTTAATGATAATATCAAAGTAATTCACATAAGATACATATACGTCAAAAGAGACTGAGCCATTACAACACTAAACATACATGCGAAAATTCAAGAAACTAATATCAATAACCTTAAACTATATTTATTTATTCTACATCAGGAAGTAGAAGCAAACATGAAAAGGATAAATATCAGTTGGAAAGGACTGAAAACGACTGCTCACAACACGGTTGTATGAAGAATGCCGGTGGACAGCCTATGCTGCTCCATGAGAGGTAACAGCCGTAAGTAAGTAGGTAAGTAAGAAAGTAAATAAGTAAATAAGCCAGTAAGTAGGCAAGTGGGTAAGTAAGCAAGTAAGTAAGTAAGTAAGTAAGTAATATTCATTTATATTATGAAAAACGTTTCATTTTGCTCATTATATTTCAACAATTCAAATAATTAGAATCTATTTATCGAGCTGTACAATCCTCTCATTTGACAAACTAATTTATATTCATTGTAACATATACACATTTAGTCACGGATGGTGATGTACATAAATCGCAAAATGAAAACGAAAACACACACAAAAAATCGAAAAAAAGGGAAAAAAAGTAAAAAAAGAAAAAAATTTTTTTATTCTAAATACTTCTACATACCAAAAAAAGCAATAAATTATTTACATAATTGTACTAAACATTATCCCTTCCACTTCTCCTTCTCCTTCCACTTCTTCTTCCCCTTCTTGTTCTTCTTCCTCTGCTTCGATTTGTTTGTTTGTTTGTTTTTTGATTATTAATTTTTGAAATGATTCAATTGTATCTCATTCAATTCGAAATCCCTTTAGGCTATTTGAAATGATTCAATTGAGTACAATAATAATAATAGTGATAATGGTAATAGTAATCATAGTGATATGTTTACATAAACTCGTTTTTTGGACACCATTTCAATTTTTTGTTTTTTTTCCCTTCTCAATTGTCAATGTTTGCATTACCATATAGTTTAATACAAAGTAATAGACTGATTGTAATACATTATGATAGAAAAGTATTAAAAAAACAAAACGAACTATGATTGGAGTTTATTAACAAGTTAACTTGAGGAGAGCAACTACGAAGATTGGTGCAGAATAATAAATGAATTCATTTTATTACCTACGATGAAGGTTTGATCAACATACTTCATCAATCGCTCCTTTGAGGTTGGTTCTTTCGAGGTTAGCCATGAAAATATCTGTTAGGACAGGACCTAACTTGATTTCTTATTTATTATGAAAAAGGTTTAGTAAATGTTTTGCAAATTTATTCAATTTTGAAGATATCTATTCACTTGAAGTTGTATTAGTTGTATCGTCTATGGAATGAACATCAACTGCTTTGTACAGGTATATTCAGTTGACGAGTCATTAATAGGACAAAACGCGCATCGAACTGGATACCACCGCTAGGCACTATCCATCTTTGCTTAAGAAATTTGTGAATTAAGGTGACAGTGCCATCGCAGCAGTGACATCTCCTTGACACAGGACATGAAGTCGATACACTAAAGTCCTTCAAGATGATTAATAAACAATCAAAATCCAACCTTTTGAAATTTGCTGAAGCATTAGCAATCAAACGTCTAAAAGCAGATCTATGTATACAAAACGAGACAGTAATAGATCTTTCTTTACCCTAGTAACAATACCACCCCCTTTTTATTCATTTATTGCATCATTACTCAAATTGTTTTAAATTACATCATACATAACTGACTGATTTCAATTCATATGTCTCTTTATTACCATTAATCTATTTTCATGAGTTCTAATCACTATTTCAATGTTCCGGAACTTTCCCTCTCAAACTTTATTTATTCAAAACAAAATTTTATGACTTCATTAACTCTATCGGAATCTTCACTACATCATGATCCCTTTAATTCATCTTTCATCACCCTCTGTTGTATAAGTATGTCACTATCTATAATAATGTTGAATTCCAAATATTTTAGGTTGTAAGCAGCTAATGAGAACCTAATGAAATAATAAAATGAATTCATTTATTATTCTACACCAATCTTTGTTCTTACTCTCTTTGCTTAAGAAGCCTGTGAATGATGGCACTATCGAAACGATTCACATAGTATGCACATATATCAATAACAGATTGATCAATTGTAGTCTTAAACAATAATGAGAAGTTTCAAGTAAACCAATATCAAGATTATTCATTGTTTAGTAAAAAAAAAACTGACCGATAAGTACCGTACGTACTTCCCAACCACCTAACCACCAACCAACATACACACATACATGCACATACATATACACATAAATTTACATGAAATAAATAAATGGTTATACAAAATCTGAAAGAAATATAGAGTAATCTGTCATATTCTCATGTTGTTAATGAAGATTAAGTCTTGTTCACCGGCTTTATTTTTTCTTTCTTTATTATTTTGTAAAAACAAATATTTCATTGTTTTAATAATTTGTGAACGGAAACATTACCGATATGGTAGGCGAATGAACTTGGTAACATTTGATTTATACTCTACATTAGATATATCTTTATACTTGTATTTGTATAATACATCTATGTTTTTTAGAAATGTAATACAATATTGGTCAACAATACATTATTACTAGTAGTGGTAGGGGTGGTGGTGGTGGTGGTGGTGATGGTGGTAATAGTGATGTTCCGATCTCAGCAGCAACAGCAACAACAACAAAGGCTTCCGATACTATTTTAATATATTTTGATTTACTACTCGAAAAAACATAAATAATCACACATACACATACACACAAACAAAAGTAAACCGTCCTTTGTAAAAAAAAAAGGAAGAAAGAAAAGTCAGAAAGAGAAATTCTTCAGTTTAAACAACAAAAGGGATAATATCAATGAACAATACAAAATGAATAATTGACTATACAATGAAAAGAGAACAAGAAGAAGAAGAAGAAGACGAAGAAGAAGTGGGAGAATATAAGGCACATGTTTACAAACTTACATAAATGTAAATTCACTATTGTACTAAAAATGTCATGTAGTGTAAGCATGTAAACATAATTACTTATTTACAGACTCCTGTTACTTCTTGTGAAAGAGCATAGGCCGCTCACCAGTATCCTCTATCCAACCCTGTCCTCAACAACCCTTTCCAGCTCTTTCTAGTTGATATTCATCCTTTTCATATCTGATTCTACTTCCCGATTTAATGTGTTCTTTAGCCTTCCTCTTTTCCGCTTCCTTTCAGGATTCAAAACTAGCGCTTATCTCGTGATGCAGTTTGGTGATTTGCGTAATTTATGTCCTATCCATTTCCATAATCTTTTCCTAATTTTCTCCTCAGCTGGAAGCTGGTTTGTTCTCTCCCATAGTAGGCTTCTATAACAATAACTACTTATATAAATATATATTACTCATTAGAAAATTGGTTGTCATTATTATTGAGCCAATTGATGAATATTTTATACTGACTTTCCTTAATTTCTGTGGAGAAACATTCCCTGATGAACTTCTATTTGATTAATATATATCTAAAGACTAGAGTTTGAAATTCATATCATCAAATTAATTATTTAACAGTCTCAGGTTACGCTGACAAAGAGACCTAATTTCGACTGTTAGTGAGTCCTAAAGTAATAATGAAATAGATACCTACTGAAATCTTGCTTTTCAACAGCTTTTCAGTCGAACTTATATTATGACAATGACTTATACAGAAAGTATGATCTTCAAATTGGTGATTGAATAGCTCAATACTAATTTTAAAAAGTAGACTGAAAAGTAGATAATAGATGAAAAAATAGAGGGAATATTTGATTTGAGACAAATAGGCTTTCTTTACTGTGTTTACTGTCTGTTACTACCTTGACGTAGTGGTAGGGCCTGCTTATCATGATAAACCAATCGAGCTATACTGACTGCAACAATCATTCATCAAGGTACTACCATGTCAGGCAGGTCGGTTGAAGAACGGTAAGACTAAAAGCAGCAAACCCAAGGTCCGAAGGTTAAGTCGTACTGCTGAATGTACAGAGGTGTGACGGCAGTAAGGTATTTCCTTCGCGACACTAGCATAACAGCGAGGAGGGGTTGGAGTAGAAAAGATCGACCCTAAAAATGCACACCTCTCCTTATCCTACTGATATCCGTCCCCGGCTGTAAGATCTCAACAACTATGGGGCCAACACGAAAATTGCTCACAAAAACATCGTTTGTGACCAACCTCAAGCAGTTGTCCTTTGTGCATTGCAGTCATGCTCTCAGATCACTAAGACTACCTGTAATCCAATTTGATTTTCACATACCTCCAATAGAACCCTTCCACAATGTATGCAATCGGAAAGTGATAACCACTCTCATACCTCTAACAACATTCAAAACCATTATATTCAATTCCTATTTTATCATTGTAAAACTTTATTAAATAAACATTAGAGACAGTAGTGTAAGAGATAAAACATTGAATAAGTTGATTGATGTGGATCTTTTTTGAATAACCAAAAAAGAAAAAAAAAACACTCTTCATCTTAACAAATAAAGACGTAAAAAGGGAAAAAAAGCGACATAGATACAAGACAACTTTTTTCATAGAAGTTTTGTCATCATGAAGACCAGATGTTTGTAAAGGTTTATGTATTTTCTTGTTTTTGATGTTAAATAATTACCATTTATCATTTCTATTATCATAAATTTATATTTATGTACGTATGTGTGTATACATACATAGATAGATGAGCATTAGCGTGGAGGTACACTTAATTGTTAAAGTCCGATCACAGAACGAAACTTCTTTTCTAGATTCCGTTGTTAAATTGTATTCAAACTTTGTTATCATCATCATCATCCAAATCATCATCATCATCATCATCATCATCCAAATCATCCAAATCATCATCATCATCATCATCATCATCATCATCATCATCATCATCATCATCATCATCATCATCATCATCATCATCATCATCATCATCATCATCATCATTATCATTATCATTATCACCATCCAAATCATCATTATCATCAGTAAGAATATAACTTGTAATAACTTAGTATGTGTACAATTCTAACTCTGTAATATGATGGAATACATTTAGACAAAATAGGATTAATTCAAGTGTAATTTATGTATATGATCTATCACTAAAAGAAATTTACAACTAACTTGTAATCGTTTTGTTTTTGTTTTGTTGTTGACTAATTACATAGATGTATCTACAGAAGTTGTGAATACATCTTGTTTGTGTAAGTTAAACTGAATAAAGGAATAATGGAAAATAGAAAACATCCCATTGACTTTCTGTTATGTCCTGATAAGCACAATGAATGGTAACTTTTGGGATCTATTTATGGACAAATACTAAACGTATGTTTTATCGTATAACTAAACTATTCATATTCATGTTCCTCTTATTATGAGCTTTATTTTGACCTATGAACTATTATTATACGATTTACCATTCTCGAATTATGCCCTGTCTATTAATTACTACCTCGCTCATTCACAGCCACATTTGGCTAAATCCTGTACAAATGTTGTTCATATTTTATGGTACAATGTGGTCTGTCTGGTTGGTATATAAACCCAGTATGCTTGAACTAAACGATTCACATCGCGAGGCTGAGATTGGTGTTCTGAATTTAACTGGTTGGACTAGGCAGAAAGCAGGACCAATAAGGACTCTAGAATGCTCGTACGGGTTTTATGCGTCATCGGTTCGATCGATAATCCACTGCTCTCTAATTGGCGGTATCATTACGTATACATTAACAGGGCACACAGGTCACAAGTTAAAACACTTTCATTTAATAATCCGAAGAAATTATGTTTATTTATATGGGTTATAATGTGTTCTTTTTTAAAGAAAGCATTGTAAAATTAGCATTTATTTCATTCTATTCTCTGTAGCAGGACAATACACTCATTTCTATAGTACAGTTCCAATCAGATACAAAAGGAACTTGGTAAAGATCCTGACTCATCGTGCCAGAATGATTTGTTCGAATGACACTATTGGAGATGAATTAGTTAATATTTGTAACTCAATGATAATGGGTACCCTATAAAATTCGTCGATGAGTATTATATTATTATTGTAAAACATATATGTGTTACTGTAGAGCCATGATGAAACACTAATTGAAAAGAAAATGCAAATATATTGGGAGTGATGATGATGTCTTTGGTTGTAACATCGTTATTCACAAACGTCCCACTCATAGAGACTGTAGAATATAAAGGTGAACAACTGGTGGAAAATGAAATAGAAACTACAGTTTCAATTAATATCATGAAAGAGTTATTACTCAAATGCACCGTGAATGTGATTTTCGAGTTCAACAGAGAAATATATAGACAAATAGATAGTATGGCAATCGATTCACCATTGGACCATATACTAGATGATATTTTTCTAGTCGAACTAGAAAATGGTCCTCTAATAAAGATTATTCAAAAATTTGCATTTTCCTGTCGATATATCGACGATACGTTCATCCTCTGTAAAGATGATACATCACAGTAAGAGGTTCTTAGGCGGTTTAATGAAGTGCATCCAGCCACTTAGTTTACATCTGAAGAAGAGAGTGATAGTCGAATAGCCTTTTTGGACGTTATTTTGGCTAAGCGAGCGGATGAATCTTTAAGAAGGAACTTAAACAGAGAAGGTACCTGGACTGGGCAGCATACGCTTTGTACCTCTACAGTACAAACGAAACTTGATCAAAACCCTTAGTTACCGAATACGCACTATTTTCTACGGATATGGTTGAAGATGAGCTAAACACCTTACATAATACTCTTAGGGAAAACGGTTGCCCTGGAAAGTTTATAATTAAATATATGATCACAAAGGTGAAAATAGGAGAAATACAAACGGTGAAGAAGAAATCCTTGTTAATGCGCCTATAATTCAGAGGGAACTCGCCTATTGGAATACTAAGTCAAAGATTACGCAGGACAATATAAACATTTTTCAACGCTGGAGAACTGCGAATAATGTTTTCTACGTACCCGATGGTGACACCTAGGCTAAAAGATGAATTACCCTGAATGACCACCTAATTTTCACATATTTCATACCGATTTTCAGGCACAATCATGTTGTAATAATGAAGTACTTATGTCGTATTACCGGTTACTATGTTAAGCTCCCAAATGCCCTGGTATGGCCGAGAGTGGAGACGGCCCGCCCTTCCTCTCGAAATTCTCTCATACGGCCACGCTTATACAGCCTCTACCAGGAAAGTCCTACTCACTGCCTGCATTATGATCTTGTTAAATATTCGATTGTCAATATTGAATGTTTCTATGTAAACAAATATGTGCACATTTCTTACATTACTCATCACATATCTGTAACATATTTTTATATGACTATAAATATTGATGTACGCTTGATTAAATCGAGTTGACTCACAGTCCTTCTCCAATGCACTTCGTTTCACTCTGCTCTCATCTCTTCGCTTCGTTCCTCTGATTGTCTGTCCAGATGACACGCAAAATCGTGAAGCGTTCCATATTTTTAACTCCGCCTGGAGTCCCTCCGGGGGCTACTGCCGGTTCCAAGCCCGGATAAAGGAGAAGGGTCAGGCATGGGGTTAGCGACCCCATCCCGTGGAAAACTAACTCGTTAAAAAAAACGCTAACCAGATCAATGAGTGTACAAAATATATGTATTCAAACAGCACTTCTCGTATATGACTGATTTAATTCTGTTATACACTAACGCGATTTACGTCGATGATATGTGTATTTCATTAACATTCATACAATCCGATTGGAGTCAGATGTTGGGCTGCTAAAATGGTGAGATCATCGATAACATCGTCCGATCTAACTGATTTCAAAATGAAAGGCCCCACTGAAGGCTGAATGATATTCATGTAATGTGAAAGATACAGTCTGATGTAGATTTCTAAGGGAATGGTGAATATCTACTTTCCCAGGTGGTCGAATATACCTATTTATTATATGCTATGAGATGAATGGGGTAAAACATGTATGTTACAGCTGTGTATGCATCGTGCATTGTCTCACAAAGTAGATATACCTGTATGTTTACTAAGGAATACACAAAGAGAAGTCCGTGTGTAATTTAAGTGAATTGTTTATCAAGTTCATATGCTTTTCTTAAAAACAAGTACAAACGATAAAGACGAACATCATCAAACGACGAGACTATAATGTATGAACGAACCAATCAGATATAAAATAACGAGTCATGAATTTTGGCTTGAAATTCATTCATACATTTGGCAAAATACTATTTTGGCATTATAACTGATGTCAGTTCATGATGAAAACCCTAAATCTAATTTCTAACCTTAATCATTTACCATAAATTGTCATTCTAATCCACCACATTGGTTTATAACTCTCATTTGGTCCTGGTTACTAAGCCGACACTTTCAAGGTCACTCTAGCGTCGCTCAAAGGTCGTCCATAAAATGTCATCTCGTTCATCAAACATGTCTAACATTTACCTAACAAAAAGAAAGTAACATTAACATGAGTAGATAATTATGATCAAACTTTCTGTAATTTGTAAACATAAATTAATGGAAAATTATTGTTGAAAATATTATTCTTAGAAATATTATGTACAATGTTGTCCACACCTTCAATTGACTCATTCAAGAGAAGATTAGACATCCACAGAAGCATATTAGAAAAGGAATAACATATGCTGTAAACCTTCTTCCCTCCTGACTACACAAATCTGAATCTTATTTATACTTTCATAGTGAAAAAAATGGATCGACAAAAACTTATCCTGAAGTTAAACTGATTGTCCTATCCAAAACAACATGTTCTTTAACATAATCAAAGGTCGGTAGCTATCTCTTTCATGTTACCATTAACTGTAAATACAAATTGACATGTATCTGCCAAAACGGTTATATTGGTAGAACGGAAAGGAAAACCTACGTTCGATTCAATGAGCATATTCTGAAAAGTTTAAGGTCAAATGGATTAAAAGTATTCAGTAGTGCAATCTTAAGATATCTCCTTGACACAGGATATGAAATCAGGAAGAAGCGATGCAACTGGATAGGACACACATTGAAGAATGCACCCAACTGCGTCACAAGCCAAGTTTCATTGTGAATCCTGAAGGCAAAAGGAGGAGAGGAAGACCAAGGAATACATTACGCCTAGAAATGGAGACAGACAGACATGAGAAGAATGACCAGCAATTGTATAGGACTAGAAAGGCAGGTTAACTTCAGTACCCAATGCTCACGTACGATCGATTTACAGCTGATTTTAGAGAAAACGTGATAACAACCAACGGGATTACTAAGAAGTTCCTTTATTTGTTACTGTAGTAATCAGATGACTGCTGTACCATATTCAGATTACCTTCATGAGATGTTATTTGTGTTGGAGGTCACTTAAGATTCATTCAAAGGTCGTTCATGAATTATAGTCTCGCCGCAGCTGATGAGAAGCTAATGAAATAAAATGAATCCATATTGTTCTGCATCAGTCTTCGTTTTCGCTCTCTTTAAACCATTGAGTAATTGGAGCCATTTGATAAGAGGCTTTGCACTTATATTTTGTTCAAGTTAGCGCATTTCAGTATTAAACATTTTTAACCTTCAGAGAATTGATGTCTTTGTCTAGTTTAGATAGTGAATGATGTTACCATCAAAGTATTTGGCCTCAATCTAAATTACTGAATAACTGAGTTACTGATAATTATTGATCATAGAGTGATAACCAGTGTTAAGCTTGCTATACATCCTCTTCATGTCTGCTTTCAATTCCCAATGCAGTATGTTTTTTGGTCTTCTTCTTTTCTGTTTCCCTTCAGAATTAAAAGTTAGCGCTTGCCTTGTGATGCGGTCTGGTGATTTCCACAATGTACGTCCTATCCACTTCCAATGTCTTTTCCTCCTCAGATGGAATCTGGTTTGTTCTCTTCCATGGTAGGCTGTTTCTAATGTTATCTGGCCAACGGACATTGAGTATCTTACACAGGCAATTGTTTGTAAATACTTGTACGTTTTTGATAGTGGTTAAAGTAGTCCTC